AGGTAATGCTGGCTTTTCCTGGGGAGGACTCTGAACTTTACAGACCTAAGCTGACTGGGAGCAGGGAAGAATAGGTCCCCAGCTTAGCCCAAGGGCAGAAAACAGACAGGCCACAGCCAGTCACGCCTCATCTCAGAGAATACTCCTGTAAAGGTTGGAAGTGAGGGGGCACCTCTCTGAGGCCTGCACTGCTTGCCCTCACCCCCAGGGTCTGCCTTAGGAGGGTCTGAGGTTCCTGGCAAATCAAGAACCTGCTGCTCCCCACTCTCCATTCTGCACAGGGCAGCCAGAGTTTCTCCACAACCTAAATCATTTGACACCTCTCTCAGGTTCACATCCTCCCATAGGTTCCCGTGGTTCACAGGATGAAATCCCAATCTCGCACTCCGATGTCCAAGCCCTGATTGATCTGCTTCTGCCCCACGCCCCTCACACTCTCCCCTCAGGCCTCCCCAACTCCAGCCACTCAAAACTCACTCCCAACTCAGCACCTTTGCACTTGCTGTTCCCTGCCTGGAACCCTTTCATTTCCCATAGATCTCTTCACGGCTATCTCACCCAGCCAATCTCAGCTCAGGTGGCCCCTCTGCTGAGAACTTTCTCTTTTTCCACTTGTCCTCAGTGCCTCTCTATTTATTCCCCTCACAGTCATCGGTCCACCCTGAAGGCACCTTGTTTATTTGGCTGTTGATCTCCATCTCCCCTGTGAATTGTGAACTCCAGGAGAGCCACAGTCCTGTCTCCCTTGGCCACCACTTGTTCCCTGGGGGCTGAACATGGGGCCTGGCACACAGTAAGCTCCTAAATTCAAATATGATCAATGGGGACTTCCCTGGTGGTCCAGTGGTTAAGAATCTGCCTTGCAATGCAGGGGATGCAGGTTTGATCCCTGGCAGGGGAACAAATGGAGCTTTCCTGGGTGGCTCAGTGGTAAAGAATCTTTCTGTCAATATAGGAGATGTGGGTTCGATCCCTGAAGAAGGAAATGGCAACCCACTCTAGTATTCTTGCCTGGGAGACCCCATGGATAGAGGAGCCTGGCAGGCTACAGTCCTTGGGGTCATAAAGAATCAGACAGGACTGAGCAACTAAACAACAACAAAAAAGGAGAACTAATACCCCACATGCCTCATAGCTACTAAACCCCAGAACCACAGCTACTGAGCCTGCGTGCCACAACTAGAGAGCTATGTTTTGGAAGGATAGATCCTACATGACTCAGTGGAGTTCCCACATGATGCAACTAAGATCTGATGCAGCCAAAATAAATAAATACTTTTTAAAGACCCACAAATATGTTCAGTGGATTAATAAATCCTGCCTTTCACATGCCTGGAACCAATCAGAGGCTCAATCAGGAATATACTTGTGACTTAGACTCACATTTTCTATATATTGAACCAGTTAGGAGTTCCAACTGGAGGATAAATGCCACTGAAATCCCACTCAATTTATTGAGAAGTTTCCTAGGTGACAGAACCCAATATTCCTCTAATAGAGCAGAAATCTGGACTAAACATTTGGGACTCTGCCCTTTATATTTCAATCGAAGCCAATATCAGTGATTAGAGCCCACCCTGATGGCATCACACCCTGATGTACTCTCCAGTCCTGAGGAATTGGAGGCATGGCCCTTTGGCCTTAATGAGGTAAGTGGAGTGCTATCTAGAAAGAGTGCAGTAAGTTAAGGGATTGAGCTAGTAGGATCCAGTTTGGACAGAGAAGGGGTTAAGAGGGAAGAGAATTGGTTAGGGAATGTAGAAAAAAAGACTGGCAGGGGACCAGGCTCAAGTTAAGGGAGGACCTGCACAGGGGAATGGAGAGGATTAAAGGCGGAAAACGAGAGTTGTTAGGGTGACATGCTGCAGGTTTTATGGGAAGGTCATGAAGGGGGACAGAGAGAGTAGTGAAGGATGGGGTATTTCAAGGAGATAGATGTCTTTATAGCTGCAAAAGTCTAGAGGTCATCAGGGAACAATAAAGCTTTCTGGAGGGCAGGGATAAGTTAAAATTCACAAGGGGCAGAAACGGTGTTATGGAGGACACGGATAGGGTCACTGGTCTTGGGAAGGATTGTGGGGGATGATAAGGGGAAATTAAGAAGGGAGAGAAATCAGGCAGCTCTACCTGAACTATATCAATAGAAGACACTGAGGCAGCATACGGGGGGCAGTGGGGTGGTATGGGGGGGCCACTGTGCCCACATCGACACCTGCAGGGTGGGAGGGAGTTGTTTACAGTGCAAGTACTGCAGCAGTTCTCAGCAACACCTGTGTGTCCAGTGGTTAGGTACCAGAGCAGGCATCTGTGGTGACCAAAGCCAGTGGTATACACACCCATGTATTTGGCAGGCTAGCTGCAGGTGCCTGTGTAGTGGCAGGGATCAAATTGAGACACACACTTAGGGGCAGGGGCCAACCATCAGCATTGGCATTATTAGATATAAGCCTGCAAACCATATGCAGAGACACAAACAAGTTTGAAAATTTTAGTGAAGAAACTGGAAACCATTTGACGCGAAAGAGACTGGAGAAAATCAAACAAATTCTAGAACTGAAAAATATCAGGAATTGTTCTACTTGTGCTTTACTGACTATGCCAAAGCCTTTGTGTGGATCACCACAAATGGTGGGGAACTCTTCGAGATGGGAATACCAGACCACCTGACCTGCCTCCTGAGAAATCTGTATGCAGGTCAAGAAGCAACAGTTATTCATTTTTATTAGTTGGAGGCTAATTACTTTACAATATTGTAGTGGGTTTTGTCATACATTGACATGAATCAGCCATGGAGTTACATGTATTCCCCATCCGGATCCCCCCTCCCACCTCCCTCTCCACCCGATTCCTCTGGGTCTTCCCAGTGCACCAGCCCTGAGCACTTGTCTCATGCATCCAACCTGGGCTGGTGATCTGTTTCACCCTTGATAGTATACTTGTTTCAATG